CTATGTGTGAGGGAACTAGGTGAGACTAGGAAAACAGCTACTCATGAATCTTCTAATTCATGAGAAATTGAGCAGAATAGAGAGGGATATTGCCTCAGTAATAGGAAAAATCAGCCCTAGATTAAAGGCTGCTCCGATCCCAGGGGAAACAAGCCTGGAAAGGATGAAACTGTTTCCAAGTAATTAAACTGAGCCCCAGAACAAAGCTCAATGATATTCTTAAGAGCACAAAAACATCCAGCACGCATCTAATAAAACATGATCAGTCATGCAAAGAAGTAGAAAAAAATGCCAGAGATGTACAGATCAATCAGTCAATCAATTACACCAAGGCAGAAGTGACATACGTAATAAAAATCATAGACAAGGACATTAAAACAGTTATAACTATATTCACATTCTCAACAAGCTAGAAGATATACTGAGCATGTTTGAGACAATGGAAAATATAATCAGCTTCTGTAGATAAACACTACATCTTTACATGAGTGTAACAGTCTATTAGACACAGTAAAAAGAAAATATTAGTGATGCTGAAGACACAGCAACAGAAACCAACATGAAACAAAGAAAAAACTATTTAACAATAGAACAGGCAACTTCAAACCACCTACTATAGTTGTAACTAAATCCCCATAGGAGGGGGGAGAGGAACAGAAAATATATTTGAAGAAATAGGGTCAAGATTTTCCAAATTTGATGAAAATTATAAACCCAGATTCAAGAAGTCCAATGAACCCCCAGAAACATGAAGAAAACTACACCAAACAACATAACTAACCTGTTTAAAATTAGTGATAATGAAATTTTAAAGCAATCAGAGAAAAGGTACACATTATTTTAAGAACAAAGATGACAGCAGCTTTCTCACTAGAAACAATGCAGGATAGAAAACAGTGGAATAACATCTCTAAGTACTGAAAGAAAACAAAAACCTCACCCTAAAATTCTATACCCAGTGAAAATATCTTTTAAAAATGATGGCATATTTTGCCAAGCTCTACTATCTCTGGAAAATGCCTAAAATACTTTTAAAATCATTTAACATTAAAAGAAAAACTAGCTTAAATTTCAGTAGAAATAAACCAAGTAAATCAATACCAAAAACACTATGAAAAGATTTTGGTTCTAAAATATAATAAATACACTGAGAAAGTTCTGAGAAACCAGCCAGATTCAACAGAATCATAAATTCTATGGTGGAACTGCTTTTAAAAAATTAAAAAGTTTGAGGCTCACTGATCAAGACACACAAAAATTAATAGGCTTTATATATGTGGTTATATAGAAATATATTAAAATAGAGTCAACTCTCTGTACCCTTGGCATCTGCATCCACAGATTCAATCAACTGCAGATTTAAAATATTCAGATTAAAAAAAAAGTTCCAAAAAGCTAAACTTAAATTTGCCTTTATAGCGCACTGGCAACTATTTACATTGCATTAGGTATTGTAAGAGTACTGTACAGATGATTTAAAGTATATGGGAGGAAGTGTATAGGTTATGTGCAAATAGTAAGCCATCTTATATGAGAGGCTTGAGCATGCTCAGAGGTCCTGAAACCAATCCCCTGCAGATACCAAGGAAGGACTGAAAATGCATTCACAGTATACAATGAGTATTTTCTTATTGAGGATGTAAAATACAAAATATCCCCTTGCATTGTAAAAGGATACTTTACAAATACTTTACTCTTAAGATTTTTAAGTAAACAGGATTGTCAGATAGTTTTAAGATTAATAATTTATTAACACTTATCTACCTAACGTAAGTAATTTTTCAAGTAGTTAGCATGACAGCTTAGAATAACACACTAGGAGCCCTACCAACTTAAAGACAATTAAAAAGGAAGTTTAAAACACCTCTGAAATAATATGGGACATAACACCTTACAAAATGATAAACAATTGATCCTACAAAACTGCAAGGTAGGTTTTAGTTCTAAGTAACAATGTAAGATAATACATCATTCAAAACAACTAAATTAAAAATGAAAACATAGAAAGATTAGAATCCCAATCTACCTTATTACCTATCTAAGAAATAAAGTAAACCTTTCTAATGCCCTAAGTATGGTTTAAGACAGGCCCCTGTTGGCTACAATCCAAGTATATCTACCACAAAGAATACAAAGAAACACATCAGATCATCACAAGTTACTTACTATTTTCCAAATGCAAAGCTTTTTCTGTTCAGAGGAGCATTTCAATACTACCTTCTCGTTAACAAAAATTTTTAAGACATTTAAAAAAATCCATTTTCAATAATACATATCTGACAAGACTAAAGATAACTGATCAGGGCTTACTGAAAGAATCACATGTCTGTTTTTAAGGATCTCTTACCTTCTGGTGTTGGTTTGTCCTGAGGAAGATCTGGCATATTTTCATCCAAAAGGTCAGCTAAGGATTGAGAATTTGCCAGCAGCTTCTGATAAGACATAGCAAATTCCTCATACTGTTTATGTCTATCTTCACTTAGCTCCCCTTTAGAATGTAGAATACGCCTATAAACAAATGATGAAATAATTTGATAATCTTATCAAGACAGATGTGATCATGTATTATTACATTGGGAATATTTCATAAAATCAGATTTTCACACAACTTATTTTTAATACTCAATATTTTCAAGACATATCTGAAAATTAAAACTTGTATCAAATTCACCTAAACAATGAAATTTTTTAAACAATTAAATGTTAACATTGGTTCTTCAGAGAATATGAAGTATGATTAACAATCATGTTTGTAGACCCAGGAATCCCGCTCCTGGGCTTATATCCAGAAGGAACCCTACTTCAGGATGACACCTGCACCCGTGTTCATAGCAGCACTATTTACAATAACCAAGACATGGAAACAGCCTAAATGTCCATCAATGGATGACTGGATAAAGAAGATGTGGTATATTTATACAATGGAATACTACTCAGCCATAAAAACTGACAACATAACTCCATTTGCAGCAACATGGATGCTCCTGGAGAATGTCATTCTAAGTGAAGTAAGCCAGAAAGAGAAAGAAAATACCGTATGAGATCGCTCATATGTGGAATCTAAAAAACAAAAACAAAAACAAAAACCAAAGCATAAATACAAAACAGAAATAGACTCCTAGACATAGAATACAAACTTGTGGTTGCCAAGGGGGCAGAGGGTGGGAAGGGATAGATGGGATTTCAAAATTGTAGAATAGATAAACAAGATTATACTGTATAGCACAGGGAACTATACACAAGATCTTATGGTAGCTCGCAGAGAAAAAAAATGTGACAATGAATATACATATGTTCATGTATAACTGAAAAATTGTGCTCTACACTGGAATTTGACACAAGGTAAAATGATTATAAATCAATAAAAAAACTGGAATTTGACACAAGGTAAAATGATTATAAATCAATAAAAAAATTAAAATAAAATTTAAAATATTTTCATTCTTTGTTTTGCATTATGACCAGTGAAGAAAATGAGTTAGAAGAGGTTTTTTTTGTGTTGTTATCTTCTTAAAAGTTAGAAAATAAAGCAGAAAAACCATGGCTACACTTATTCATCCCTGCTTATGTGGAACAATTTCTGAACTTTCCTATCTTACCCCATTCTTATCCAAATTTTAAACTTTTGTTTCAAAGCTTTTACATTCCAAATAACATTCTCTATCTTAGACTATCAGTTTCCATTTATAAGCACAAGATACATAGTCAGTTACTATTCATTAAATCCAATCCTTTCTCCCCCCCCCAAAATCTGGCTTATTGGGATCTAACATGAGAAATTTTCACTTATTTTCTTATTCAAGATACATTAGACAATATTGTTCTACAAACAGATTAGCAAAATGCCAAGATAGCTTAACCATAATAATCCAGGCTAAAAAGCATTCCTCTAAAAGCAGTGTCTTTCTGTCTTCAAATATTTCAGAGTAACTTTACAGGCAAAAACAAAGTTCTTTCAGTTTTATAAATGAATTTTTAAAACAAAAATCTAAGCATTTAAAAATATTCATGCCCTAAAAGAAATGACTGATATTACTTTGAATCAGCTTGTTACTACTTTTAATTAAAAGTTAAGTCATTTTTTAAGTTAAAAAAGCCAATAAACTGGTAAATGATTTGAATAAATAACTCAAAAGCAAGGTACTCTAAAATATTCTGCAATTAGAAAAAACATTAGTTAATAAAAATTTGAGTTTATTCAGAAGCAAATTATGTTAAAAATGATAATAATAGTTCCAAAGTATTTCAAAACTTCTAATGACAACAAAGATGCAAAGTTATTTCAGTATGTGAAAAGAAACTGGAAAATACTATCAAAATACCATAACCTGAAATTATTTCTCTAACAAGTTCTGACATTCTGGTCATCTGAAGATCATACATCCAGTTGCAGGTTATATAATATTCACTAAGGATTTATGACATATAAGCTGTAGCAAGGTGATGACTATTTTTATTAGAACAGAAAATGAACACTCTTTTTCTGATATCAACCTCTCTTTCAAACATTTGCCTGAGACTTTGAACTGGGTCAATTAAAAGTGACTGAATTCTATGACAGCTCCCTTTGTATGCATTCAGTTCCTGTCCAGTCCTCCTGGGACCAGTTAAAACTTTGAAATTTCAGAGATAATCCTTGTCCTCCCTAAAATCTCAACTCCACGATTAAATTTTTAACAGTACTAACTTACCTAACTACTTAACTTATACGTGTTTAGGTTACTATCTAATGAGAACAGTCCTTGGTGGGGGAAAAAGCTTAGAATTTGGTTGGTTTGTTTTCTAATCAATTTTACACTAAGCACTCGGAAAGCAGTACAGGATACCAATGAAATGGCATTAGAAGAGTTCAGTTATACACAAAACTTATATAGTAACATGTATTTCCCTTGACCCCTTATTTAATATACATTTCCTAAAATCCAACCCCACGGCGTGTAGTAAGACTAGAGAGTTCAAGCAGAGAAAGAACCCATCAGAGATGCCTGAACACTCAAAATCCCTAGAATCATTTACAGGTTCTAATGAAATTTAACTGAAACAATTTTTAATGAATGTACCATATGTCAGTTTTTTATAAGTTTATAAAGACCATAGGAAAAGATTTTAAATTTGATGAAATTTTTAGAAGATGTGCATGAGGGAACTAAACATACTGTGTTTTTTGGGGGTGTGCGAGGGGAGGTAATTGGGCCTATTTATTTCCAATTATTTTTTTAATGGAGGTACTGTGGATTGAACCCAGGACTTCGTGCATACTGAGCACACACTCTGTCACTGAGCTATACCCTCCCCCCTCGCCCCGCTAAGGAAACTAAACATACACAGCACATTTGACCAAGTACCTTTCCGGTACATCAGTGTAAATCTCACCAAAATTTCTTATGTGAATTCCATAGGACTATATCACTAAGCAAAATCAAGCTGAAGATATGATTCATCACATATCATTTTAATTACAAGCTCTTCAGAAGCACATCTATTACAGAAAGCTAAATTGAACCATTCTTTTGAGACTGTCTTAAACCAGAGATCAGCAAACTTTTTCTGCAAAGGGCCAGATAATATTTTAAGCTTTGCAGACTATATGGTCTTTGTTGCAACTACTCAACTCTGTTGATAAAGCCCAAATGCAGCCACAGACAATATGTAAACACACGAGTGTGACTATGTTCCAATAAAACTTCACTTATGGACACCGAAATCTGAACTTCATGTAATTTTAATATTTCAAAAAATGTTCTTCTTTGATTTGTTTTAATCATGTAAAAAGGTAAAGACCAGTCTTAGCTCTTCAGCTATACAAAAACGAGTGGTGAGCCTAATCTGGCCTGCAGGCCATGGGTTGCCAATCCCTGTCATAACTGGGGATAACTGAGCATCACTGTTAGAGGTATTACGCACAAGTTCATTTCCCTCATGGTATCACTGCACTACAGGGAGGAACCGTTTTAAAGATACAAAAGGTAAGCAATGAAAACAAAATTAATTCCAAGTCCTGGAACAAAAATGTAAGAAATTAGACCTCTTTCACCTAATATATGAGACATCACGGTCTGGGAGCATCTCTAAGGTACATCAGTCCTTGATTTCTGCAGTGTTTTTTATATTACTAATTCAATATTGTAAAACTGACAGAAAATCTCCAATAGTCCATTCTGGAAACCAAGCATTGTATCTCATAAATAAGCCACAAATGCCTCAGAAAATTCTAGTACTAAGACTTTTTTTTCATCTTTATTGCTATTGTCTGACTTTCTTGCTATTTCTTTTATTTCGTATAGTGTCTACTCTGCTGTTTTGCACTGTTTTTAAAAATGAATTTTTAAAATAAGCTATGGATGTTTAAGAAGTTGAACATACAAATTTTCAAAATCATAAAAAGGCATAAAGAGAAATTCTCGTTCAAAAATCCTTCTCAAGGACTGAGCAGGCAATATGCTGTTGACAGCAAACATTTCCTGTAAACTTACAATGTGCCAGACACTGTTATTCAGCACCTTTACACGTATGAATGCACAGCATTCCTCACATTTACTGCAGAGGTACAGTGCTACTGTTATCTCATTTTACAGAACAGAAAACCAAAGCACAGAGATGTGAGGTAACTTGCCCAAAGTTACAGAATGAGTAAAGACAGATCTAAAACTTGAATCCAAGCAGTCTGGCTCCAGAGCCCATGCTCATAACTATTGGACCACACTGCCTCTCAAATTAAAGTAAAATTATCCACTTGGTACCTTATATTGAAATTAGATTGTCTCTCAAATGCATACATTAAAGGCAAGCCTTCTCACATCAAGGTGCTTGTTTTATATCCTCTTTTGGGTCCTTCTTTTGTTTGGATTTGACTTTGTATGTCCTGAGTAGCTAATGTGTTTACTAGACACTTTAAAACCAAGTACCAAATGCAGATGGAGGTGAGCCCTAAGGAAGATGAGGGAAACAGTCTGAAGAAGTAGCAAAGAACCTGATTCTGTGATCTGCTATCCAAGTCACACTGGGCAAACCTTTAATCACTAAACTTGATCTACTGCCTTCAAAACAGGTACTTCTTTCAAGGGCACTATGAGGCTCATTTAAGACCACACGTCTGATGTGCTGTTATCAACATGAAACACTACTTTCATGAGGGGAAAACAAAATGACAGAGCCCACTATAGAAAAGGCAACAACGTCAATGAAGTATTATTTTGATCTTCTATCAGCCAAGCTAAAAAGAAAAAAATCTTGGAGAGAACACAGAAAACCCATTACAGCTTTGTTCTTATGCAGTCATGCAAAATAACACAGAACACATGGCCAAAATCTTGAAAAATAATCACGAAGCAGACCCATGAAAAACTACGACGTTTCACTTTTCATCTCCTTTAGCACTCTGTCAAATTCTCATGAGAACTTAAATTTTCTGGTGGTTTCAATTTAGAATTTGGTTATGAATGTCTTATAATCTTAAGTGAAAAGAGACTAGAACACAGTTAAGCATAACTGAACCCAAAGATTTATCA